TGCTTGCGGCGGCGGCGGTAGCGCACGTGGCAACCCCCCGCGTTTCCTTGCCTCCCATCCACCGGACCCCGTCCTGCGCTTCACTTTGTTTAGGGAGGGGCTGCTCACTGCTCATTGCTCATTGCTCATCGCACACTGCTCAACGCTCATTGCCCTATATCCCACCCAGCCGCAGGACTCCACTGCCGCCCGCGCCCCGCCCCATCTGGCCGCTTGCGCGCCCCATCCCCCCTCGATGGGGCCCGCCCACACCGGGGCCTCCCCCCTCCCGCCCACTGCTTTCTCAACGGCCCCGAGCCGGGGCTGCCCTCATTGCATACATAGTGCGCCTTTCCCTGCTTTTCTAGTGACCTAGCGTTCCGCACTGCCGTTTGGCCAGCCCATGCTCCCGTACCGTTGCGTTTCTCCCCAATGCGCCATGCCACTTTGCCAGTCATACACACGTTTCGATGCGTGCCCTGTCAGCTGCTTGCGTTGCATGTCGCCTTGCTCCACCCCTGTTTTATTGCTTTCTCTGCTTTCGCCCGGTTCCCGTCCCGTTTCGGCGGGGAGTCTATGTTGCAAGCTAGTTCTTGCTTTACCAGACTTTAAGCCCACACAAGCAACACTCTGTGGGTGTCGTGCGGCTCAAGTTGTGTGTGAGCGCCCTACCCTCGCCACTTGCACGTGCACACACCCTCTCTCCCCCTCTGCTGCGCACACCGGGGCTGGCGACATGCCCTGCATGCCGGCCTGCTGCAGCTGCTGCGCGCAGCATTGCTAGCAGGCGTGCAGCGCCCACGTGGCATACCTGCTGCGCCCCTCACACCCACCCTTCCCTGCCCCATGCGCCCTGCAGGCAAGCTAGGCGCGGAGTAGTGCTCTGTGTGAGCACAGCCGCCCACCTGCCTGCCTGCCTTGTTACGTAGTCCCATTCGGCCCGCTCGGCGTAAAAGGTAAAGGTAAAGGTGGGGAAGAGCCTCCACAGGCTTAACTTCCCGGTTTTAACGTCTAGCTTTAGACCATTATTTGATCTGCCCGACGCGCCAAGTGCAGTACCCCCCACTAGTAGTGAATGGGTCCCGGGGAGGCCTGTGCCGAAGCCTTGGCGATTCTATTAGGCGTTCCCGAAGGAATTGGCTTGGATTGGCGCTGAGCCGGTCAGCTATGCCGCGTTTGTCCTCACAAAGTTTCGACATGGGAGGAATCGAACCTGTGCCCTCTCGGAGGGTTTAGACACTAGCTCCAGCGCCTTCAAAGAAGGCCTTTCGTAGCCGCGGTCCGGCGTGCCGCTTGCGCTGCCTGCCTCCATAGCCTGCACACCCGCAGCGCAGCTTGCAGTCGCAGGCGAAGGGCAGGCACACGCGCGGGCTGGCACCCTGCGGGCGCGCATCGCCACCCCTGTGGCTGCAAGCCAACCCACCTGCCCACAAACCCGCCTGCAGGCCCACCTCCGCCCTCGACTTGTGGCCCCTTGGCGGCGGCGTGCGCACCACCTGGCGCATGGCGGCCGGCAGCGGCAGCCCCGCCGACCTCTTCGGCGTGCCCTCCTCCCTCCAGGTGCGGCACTGGTGTTGCAACAGTTGACAATTCCACCAAAAAACGTCCCTGCGCATTATGCTTACATTGCAGACAGCAAACCCTCTCAAGCATGCAAGCAGCGCATGCTGCTTGTTGTGCATGTGTGTGTACTGAAAAGGCTAGTGCGCTCGGGCCTCCTGCCTGCCTCCCACCCCCGCGGGCTGAGCCGGGGACACGGAAGGCGTGCTGAATGTGTTTGTGAATATTCATTACATTAATGTGGTACAGTCACCACGTAATGTTAGGCCGCGTGAGCAGACCTTGGGCAGGGGGCACACGTGATCAAGGGGCATCAGGAGAGGGGGTGGACCATGGAGCACCCTCTCCATGGATCCAGCCACCCTCCCCCCTCGCTGAGCGTCCCAGGGTCACCCCACCCTGGGCCCACTCCCCGTCCTGCTTGACATGCAACCCCCACAACGTGGTGGGGGACGTGGGGATCCTTAGCAGCTTTGGCCTGCCAGGCCGACGGGTGAAGCTGCCGCAAACGCCCCCGCCAAGCCCAGCGCGCGCTCTGTGTGCTAATTCCACTGCCTGCCCCTGTCCCGCCACTGTTGCAGCTGGTGGCCAGAGAGATTGAGTGCACGGCCTTCAGCTTCCTCACAGCTGCTGGCGCCTGCGCCAACAGGTCGGCACGGCAGCCGCCCTGCAGCTGCGCGATGGGGTCCCTGCCCGCCCCTGCCCGCGCCGTCCCTCCAGAACCCTGCTTCTTTCCATTTACATTGGCCTGCATGCATCAAACGGCCCCTCTGCCACCGTTTCTTTACCGCCAGGGCATGAAGGGCCCGCCTGGCAGGCGATCACAATCACGCCTGGCTTGCTTCCTCTGCAGGACTGCCGGTGTGGGTGCCAAGGCGCTGTGGGTGCTGGAGCAGCCAGCTGGCGCCGCCGCCGACCAGTACCTCATCCGTACCGCGGTGGGTGGGAACTTGTACCACTGAAATTGCCAGCCGCGGCGGCTTGTGTGGTGCTCTGGCGGTGGGTTGCGGCGGGTGTCACTGTGCTTGCATCTGGGAGGGTGTACAGTCCGTGTGTTGCCCAGAGCAGCTACGGCGCAGACGTGCAGCCACGGTGGCCCCTCCGGTCCCTGCCCTGGCCCCAAACCATAAACCCTAAGCCGCGTGCATCTATAGGCTAGGTAGCATACGCCACGCGGCTACCTACCTGCGACCCGCACAGCTGCCCCCCCCCGTGCGGCCAGCACAGGACGGGCCTCCGGGCCGTCACACAGCCCGCTGCCTCGATCCACATCCAAGAGCCCATTCGTATTGACGGAAAGTCGTTCTTTCCTCCTCTTGCCGCCGCCGCAGGGGCGCTCCGCCTGCGCCGCCCGCTACCTGGGTGCTGCCAAGGCGGGCCCCGGCAAGCCCGACGCCGCCAGCAAGTGCGGCGATGACCCCCAGCTGATGCTGTATAACAGGACAGACGCCTCTGCCCACCTCCTCTGGACCTTCACCCCTCGCTACGACTCACCCCCGCCGCCGTCCCCCAACCCCCCTCCCCCGCCGCCCTCCCCGCGCCCGCCGCCATCGCCGCGCCCGCCCATGCCGCCGCCCAGGCCCCGCCCGCCGTCGCCCAGGCCACCCCCTCGCCCCAAGCCGCCGCCCAGGCCCCGCCCGCCGTCGCCCAGGCCACCCCCTCGCCCCAAGCCGCCGCCCAGCCCCAAGCCTCCGCCGCGGCCGCGCCCGCCCTCACCCAAGCCTCCTTCGCCCAAGCCTCCAAGGTTGAGCAGCCGCCAGGGAGGGC